CGAAATCCCAAAGGTCTTACTCGGCATAGGAAACGAAGTTCTTGCAGAAGAGCTTCGAGAAAGAAAGATAAAAAGGCTAACATCTCTAAATGCTGCGGTGTACGCGATAGCGCGTGCTATCAGCGCCAAGGCAATAGAAGATGCTAGTAAAAGGCTAGAACCAGAAAGAGAACGCTTCAATGAAGCGATTCAGCTCCGAAGCACTCTTATCCGCTTCATATCCGCGCTTGGCGGGAGAGCTAAGGAGAAGACGTATAGATGGAGACTTGCAAGGAGGGCAAGGCAGGCCCAGTCGTTTGTACCTTGAAGTCTCCAAACTATATAAGGTGTCTAGGACTGTTGATGTTCAGAGGCTCCAAGTGAGACTTCGTGACCAGTTGAACATCGTGCAGCAAGACATCAAGAAGATGGAAGATGCCAAGAGGCGCTTCCAAGTGAGGCGAAGGGGTCCATCCTTCGTAGCAAGAGAGCCCCGTGATCAAGGGGGAAATGTACCGGTGAACCAAGTACGTGAGTACTGGGCTCCTATTGTGGGCAAGGTTCAACCGTTCGTAGAAACAGTGGAACTCGCGACATGGTCGCGAACCCACAGGCGAACCGCAAATACCCATGTGGACGTAGACCTCTCAGAAGATGACTGGAGAACTTGTTCTCGAGGATCAAACCCTGGAAGGCTACTGGACCAGATGGAATCCAAGGTTTCTGGTGGAAACACCTACCGGAAGCTAAGGAGCGTCTTAAAGAGTGGTGCATGAAAGCACTGCACAGGCGCAGGGAAGTGATACCGCGATGGCTCTGTAGAGGCAAAGTGGTACTAATCCCAAAAGGAAAATCAGCGGCCCCAGGCCCCGGAGATTTTCGGCCAATAGCATGTTTGAATACATGCTATAAGGTACTGACAGCCATGATTGCAAACCGAATTGCCGCATGCACGCAAGACCGAATTCCTAAGGAACAGGTCGCTTTGCGGCGTGGCATTTGGGGGTGCACTCATGCGCACATACTGGATCAAACAGTATGCAGAGATGCTATCAAGCATCACGCAGAGCTACATATGCTATGGGTGGATATGACCAAAGCTTTTGACTCTGTGTCACACGGCGCGGTAAATTGGACATTAAGGCAATGGGGTATTCCCAGCCCCATTACTGCATTATTGCAGAGAATTATGTCCAAACAGAGCGTCAGGTACCATGGCTACCAGAATGGCAAAGTGGTCAGAAGTGCTCCCCTTGACGTCAGGAATGGCCTCATGCAGGGAGATACTCTGAGTCCACTGCTATTCTGCCTAGCCATTGCACCGATATCTGGTTGGTTGAGCTCTAACATCGAGCCATACAAGACCAAGACTGGCAGTTCTGCCAGAGGAGAAGGTAGCTTTGAGGTGGGGCACATCTTTTATATGGATGACCTCAAAGTCTACTCTACGAGCTGGGACGACTTGGTGAAAGCCAAGGCTGGAATCCAGCGAGTAGCAGAGCAGTTAGGGCTGAAGATGAACCCACAGAAATGTGCGGTGAAGTCTCTCAACGCTGCTGCGGAAGGAAGAACCGAGATAGGAGAAATCCCAATACTCGGACTCAACTCCTTCTATAAATACCTGGGCGCGGAGCAAGATGCACTTGTCTCTATGAGAGAAGTGTGGCAAAGAGTCCAGGTCAATGCTTGGAATACTGCTGTGCGTATAATGAACAGTGAACTTACTGTTCGTCAAAAAGTTCAAGGATACAACCAGACAGTAATTCCCAAGCTAAAGTATGCAGTGTCTTGTGTGATCTTTGGAAAGGGTCGCCTCATCTCCTTGAAGAAGAAAGCACGAGACTTCGACATACGCGTACGTAAGCTGTTGGAAGAATCGAAAATGCGATTCGGATACAGCTGCGTTGCGAGACTGTATGTCAGTAAAGAGGAAGGTGGACTAGGCCTGAAGTCTGTGGAGGAGGAGGTTGAACATACCATTGTTTACACATGGTGTTACCTATCCTCCAACCCAGACTTTATAGTCCCCTACCAGCTAGCCGAAAGCCTACGAGCTAGCAGTAAAAGGTCACTAACCTCAGACTTTAAGTCCGTTTTAGCAGCCAATGGACTAGAGGGAAGGGTGACTAGAACGATATTAACGTTCATAGAAGTTGATGGTCGTAGATACGACTCTGCAACTAAAGCGGCACGGGCTATCTCTACTCTAGTCCACCAGAGATGGGCTCAGTTCCAGATGTCTGAGTGGAAAAAGAGGAGAGTAGCCAGTAGAGTGCTGGAGGACCCAGATGGTCGCTTCCAACTAAACCACAAGGATTCGTTCCTATGGTTAAGTAAGGGATGGGTGTCATCTGAAGTTCTCAGAAACGTGTGGGCTGTACAAGAAGGCTCACTACTCACTAGAGCAAGTGCCCCAGGACGTGCGGTTCAGGCTTCCGTCACGTGCCGAATGGGGTGTCCAATGAGGGAAACAGCAGAACATATAGTATCATGCTGTGAACATTGGAGAACAAACATCATGATCGAAAGACATGATGACGTCGCTAGAGTGATATATTACTCGCTCAAGCGAAAGTATGGATTATCCAATGAAGTTACTAACACACATGAACCCCACGTACTAGTAGGGCCAAATGTGGAAATTCATTGGAACAATCCTGTGCATACAAGCGAAAGCTTGAAGCATAATCGCCCCGACATATTAGTCTGGGATAGAGAGGCGAGACGCATATGGATCATAGAGATTTCAGTCTCATGGTACACGCGCATCGCAAACCAAGAGAGAAGGAAGATCTCCAAGTATGGTGTCAACAGCACCATGCCTGAAGACACGGACCTGAGTCAGTATAGACCAGGACCGAATCTCAAAGCGGTCCTTCAGAAAGACCGTCGATGTAGGGTGGATATCGTTCCCATTGTGCTTGGCACATGTGGAGAATGTAGCAAAACCCTAAGACATTATGTCCAAAGCCTAAGATTGCCTGATAAAATTGATTTTATCATAGAGAAACTCTCTAGAAGTGCGATCTTGGGAACGAATTGGCTAGTGAGAAGTCATCTAGCCAGGAGCGAGGAGTAGGCCTATAAGGACCTACGATCACAAGAGAGCATGGCATTTAGAACCATGGGAAGGGACAAGAGTCTCGTCCAGTGCAGATTCGCGCCATCTGCCAATGCGTGTCAAAAGTGTCAGTACAGAGCGTATTTGAGGGTCGGATCTTCACAGTTATGTGAAGAGGAATGAAGGCTTCATTGAAGTCTGAAACGGCCCATAGTGGGAGGGAAGAGGAGGAAAGACATAAAAACTACTGACGCGCATGAATGGATTAGCGATTCCAGGCTGCCACCTCCAAGAGAGGTGCTTCCCGGGCAACGTTACACGAGTGTGTAGCGGCCAAGAGCAGCTTTACCTTGGATAGAAATATCCATTGCGTACCGTGCGAAAGTAATTTCGCATAGGTAATGAAAACGTCAACTTAATAGTTGTCGCTGGTTTAACATAATGTGGCGAGACCTATCACTTGTGATGGAAACATTATGTTAACCATGTACATCCCATCAAAGGGAAGCGCCTAGCGTAAACAGGGATACAGCCCTAGCACTTGTGAAGCGTTAGCTTCACGAGGAAAGCTCGAACTTACAGGCTGACCGCACGCCACCGCCCGACATGACTGATCATCATGGAGGATGAAAGTGGATAGGACAGCAGTAAATAGAGCACTCGAGTCCCTTTCGTAGCAGTGAAAAGACGCCAAGTTGTTAATACCCGCCTCCAGCAGAGTCTTCGGTAAAACGGAGACATAGGGTATCGCAAGCGCGGCAACTTGACCACAAGGCTTGTTCTTGTGGCCACAGGGCGTGACATGTTAGCTTGAAAGGGAGCGCAGGCAACTGCGTTAGAGAAACCTATGACAGGTCATGAAGTCCGGAGTATTGGTGAGTGTCGAGTTAGACTCCGTTCCACAACACAGCGTAGGCACTTCAATGTGCACTCTAGCAGCCGGCTTGCTCGGCTGCAGGGATCTGTGGCCTGTGGATGCACTCACCTTTCATGCTAACCGACTTCAGGCAGGCCACACCCCTGTGGGTAAGTGGCTTGAGGTTGAGAGACCAAAATGGAGAATTCTCTTTGGGAGAACTGGATTCTTCGAGGATAAAATGGACATGCCTGATCCTATATTCAAACATCAGGTGTGCTCGCTCCTCTAGGTGAAAAGATGGGTCGAAAGAAGGATTGCTCACTACCTTCGTTTTCCATGCTAGCGGAACGGCTCCATCCAATTAGCCACATTATCAAGCCTTTAATAGGCTAATACCGCGGTATACAGACCGCGAGTGAAGGTAAGAGGGAATCTCGTATCCTTCAGGCAGAGTCTCGGTGGTCTGCCAGCGTGTTCAGTCAAGTTGTGAGCTTCTAAGGGTCGGATCCCTATAGCAATATAGGGTAGAAACACGGACAATGCTAGTGAGCCGTAACGGCCCATAGTGGGAGGGTAGCGGAGGAAAGCCACAAAATCAACCTGACGCGCATGAATGGATTAACGAGATTCCCACTGTCCCTAACTACTATCTAGCGAAACCACAGCCAAGGGAACGGGCTTGGTAAAAATAGCGGGGAAAGAAGACCCTGTTGAGCTTGACTCTAGTTTGACATTGTGAAGAGTCATGAGAGGTGTAGCATAGGTGGGAGACTTCGGTCGCCAATGAAATACCACCACTTTCATCGATTCTTTACTTATTCGGTGAGAAGAGAATTGAGCTCCGGCTCTTTTTTCTTTGTCTTAAGCAAAGCCACCTGGTGGCATTGCGACTCTCGCCGAAGACAGTGTCAGGCGGGGAGTTTGACTGGGGCGGTACATCTGTCAAACTGTAACGCAGGTGTCCTAAGGCTAGCTCAGAGAGGACGGAAACCTCTCGTAGAGCAAAAGGGCAAAAGCTCGCTTGATCTTGACTTTCAGTACGAGTACAGACCGCGAAAGCGTGGCCTATCGATCCTTTTAATCCAGATGGTTTCTGGTAAGAGGTGTCAGAAAAGTTACCACAGGGATAACTGGCTTGTGGCAGCCAAGCGTCCATAGCGACGTTGCTTTTTGATCCTTCGATGTCGGCTCTTCCTATCATTGCGAAGCAGAATTCGCCAAGCGTTGGATTGTTCACCCACTAATAGGGAACGTGAGCTGGGTTTAGACCGTCGTGAGACAGGTTAGTTTTACCCTACTGTTGACTAATTGTTGCGATAGTAATCCTGCTTAGTACGAGAGGAACAGCAGGTTCAGACATTTGGTTCATGGACTTGACCGATCGGTCAATGGTCCGAAGCTAACATCTGGGGGATTATGACTGAACGCCTCTAAGTCAGAATCCCACCTAGTCAAGGCAGCGATAACTTTGTTTCCCGGTGTCGGGAGGCAAATCTATCTCGTGGTAACATGAGAGCTTATGCCCTAATAAATGACCTTGCCGGTATGGATAATCCCTGCTGGTTGTCAAAGCCAGATCACTCTGGTTCAATGTCGGGGCGCAAAATCACATGTCTACGACATGTATACTGGTCAAGGTGTTGTATCCAGTAGAGCAGTGTTTGTATACTGCGATCTGTTGAGACTATCCTTTGATCGGGTGTTTTGTTTGTCATTATCGTTGACGTATTTTAAGTTTCCTAATACTGGACTACTTTCCTAATAGAGAAGCTCCATCGGAATCGCTGCACCTTCTCTTGACATGTCTTACCACGTGAGAATGGCTCTGGCGGAGACGCAGACGACAAGCGTACACGCCCCCTTCCCACTGGGCGCGAACTCTGCAGCCAGACCGTATGCTCGTCTGGACTCTCCCCGCGAGAGATATCCTGGTTGACAGAAGCCTTGTAACCCATTTGAAGGTGAGGCTACGGTGCTAACTTAGTTGGGGGGGGGCCGGCGGCGCGGCAGTCTGCTCACCTGGGCTCTCTCGAGCGAGACAGTGTAAACTCGAACATTCCAGCTTTTCACGCATGTCAAGTGACTGCCCCCCCCCCCCCCCTAGACTGCCTACACTCCCCCCTGGCCCACGGATTTCCGAACATGCCAGGCGAGCAGACTGCCGCGCCGCCGCGTGCCCCCCCCCCCAACTAAGTTAGCACCGAAACTACTACTTGATGGCGAAAGAATAACTGTTTTGGTGGACTAAGCCCTGGAGGAGCGGACAAATAGAGCGCCGCGCCATCGCTGCCCCTCCCCAACCCGAGTTCCACCTCTTTAACCTTCTCCTTTCGTTTCGCTAAGCTTACTCTTAACAACACATGAAGCTTAGCCACTTCCAACAATGTCGGAAGAAGCGCTTGATGTTGAGGACTGAGAATGAAGCATGGTCCCGCAACGAACGACGTTCAGAATGTGGGCAAGCTGCCAAAGAACTCGTCCTGCATTTTTTCAGGGTGCGCGCTTAGGCGACAGTCCCCTTTCTCAGTAATCGCTTATCGCAACGATATCTATATCCAACGTCACAGTTTTCCTCTTTTCTTCTTCTTCTTCTTTTTGATCGATGGGCTTGCATCAATATCTCAAACACTAGAGTGATATAAAAGAACAGTAGACACCTGGAATGCAAAACATAGTACCATCATTGGAAACATCATCTGTAAATTCACCTTTCATGTGAATTTCTTTTCTAAGGAATGCTGGGTTGTGAAAAAAAAACCTTCGCCCCAGACGGGACTTGACCCGCACCTCTTGCTTACCGGGGAAGAGCTCTAGTCCCGCCTGGGGCGAAAGTTTTGTTCACAACCCAGCATTCTTGTGAAACATTCGCAACGCGAACTGCGGCGTTAAAACAGCAGATTAGCAAACAAAAACAAATCAAACTTTCTCTTCTATTGCGATAATGGTGAGGATATTTGCATGACACTTTAAAAGGTGAAAATTGCTCGACGTTGAGAAGATGATAGCAAAAAAAGGAAATGGGAAGTAATTCAAGAATGGCTCATAAATGTCAAGCTCTACACTTTCTTTTTTAGTGATCACTAACACACATACATACTGCTAAGAAAGAAAAATTAACGGGCGACACCATAGAGAGGTGGGTGAATGGGTGTGATTTGCTAGGACAGAAAGCGATTCCTTTGCGAAACATTTTTCACTGCGACCGAACTATGGTCAGCGGTGGACCTGAGGTCCCTGCAGTGAAAATTGTTTCGCGCTGCGCTACGCGAAGTCGCTTTGTCCTAGTGAACCACACCCTGAGTGAATAAAGGAGAAACAGAAAGCAACAAAGATAGAGAATGGAGCAGTAAATAACTTCTCCTTCTTCAATTTCCGCGGAAGAACTCGGAATCACGTCAAACTTTCCTTCTACTTCTTTGATTGGGTGGGGAGGGGATTCACGCAGCGGCCCGGGCTCTGTTCGTCTACCCTCCAAGGCTTAGTCAAGGGGACAGTTACTATTTCATCACCACGTGACAGTTTCGAAATACGCGCCATTAAGGACTAAGCCTTGGAGGAGCAGATGAACAAAGCGCTGCGTCACCGCCTGGTCACGTCCCCCCCCCCAACCCACGTTCCATAGGTCCTGTCCGATTTTCAATCGAATTCAAATTTCTTCAAGTCGAACTAGTGTCATTGCGAAATATGTTGGCATGTCAAAGAGCGCACCTTGACCGTTAGCTACTATTTCCTGTAACCGTACTACTATTTCCGTACAATGCACGCTGCTTCTTGGCTGCACACTTATGGTTGACGGACCACTTGAACCCGGTCCTTTAAGCCGCCTCAGATCCATCTCTCGTCCGCTCTTCAGCGGCTCATGACCATTGTGATCTCACACATTCAAACTTTGCCACACTCTAGTTCGCTCACCCACCTCGGTTTACGGACTACTTGATTTTTCCTCAATGGTCCTGCCGCGATGACTAGAGCACAGACGATTAGAGAACGGGTGTGTGCCCCAGGACTAAGCCTTGGAGGGGGGGGGGCTCCACGGAAAGTTCACCGGCGGCGCGGACGCGTTCGCGTGTTGGTGACGTCACAGCGGCGGCGAGGGAGCGAGCAAGGGCCAGCTCTACCATCAATACTTTGATACATTGAGGAGTCCGAGCATCTACCGCGCTCTTATTTTGCTGTGTAATAAGTGGAAGTAAGTAGGAAGCGAACTGGAAGAACGGATCTGATCCAATCAATTTCAACATGACTGTGTGCTGCTAAGGGTTTCCTCGACGACTATTTGAACTCAGCCCTTTGAACCGCCTCTGCGTTCTCTCGTAGATCCCTCTCCCCTCCAAGGAAGGAGAGAAAAGCTCACTGGCGGCGCGGACGCGAGTGCGTATTGGTGACGTCAAAATGACGTCACAGCTGCGGCAGGCTTGAAGGAAGGGCAAGCAGTGGCCAGCGCCGCTGCCACTTCGCTCAAGTGGCGCTGGGTTTCTGGAACTATACCAACTTGTCCACGGTTGTGCCGCAAGCGAATTGATCATGAACAGGTACTATCCTAGCCCTAGAAATTAGGATTTTTTTGAAAATGCAGAGAAAGTCGAGACATTCGTGTGGAAACCCTGGTATACGGACAACTTGAACTCAGCCCTTAAACCGACTTGATTCGATGCCCATGCCTGCGCTCCCTCGCCTATATAGTGGGATATGATCACTGTGGGCTGACACGCTCAAACTTTGCCACAGTGTAACTGGCTAATCAACTCCGGAGCAGGGTCAACCCTACGTTATTACGAGTAACAACGAGGGGGGTTGTACCTGGTTGAGTTTGTAGGAGGGGGGGGGTCGTACTATATACCCCTCCCCCCCCTCCTCCTCCCCAGAAAAGGAAGTAGTGGGAGTATAGGTAAAAATGGGTTGAAATGGTGGAAATAGAAGGAAATTTTCGGAGATATTTACCGTTTCAGAGTGACTATATACCCCCCCCGCTCGACGGCATTTTTGGAGGAAAAAGTGGGCGGGGTTTTGATGGAAGATGGAGATGGTGGAGGTAGGGAAAAGGGGGTCGTATCAAATCCACGTTGGGGGAGGGGGGTCGTAAAAATTTTCGAAAAGTAACAACGATAGGACAGACCCTGCTCCGGAGTCCCTCCTCCCTTCAACGCTTAGTCCTGGGGCTCTCACCTTCCTGCTTGGGGCTTGGAGCCGAGCCAGGCGCCGTTCTCTAATGGCCGATGTCAGACTTTGCGATTGGAGCGATTTGCACCAATTGCAGGAGCGACGGATCGCTTGAGCGATCCGTCGCTGCGAGCGACGGGAGATTTACCCGAGCGGCGCCGTGTTATCGGTGGTCGGCGGTGTAAATCTCCCGTCGCTCCTGCAATTGGTGCAAAATCGCTCCAATCGCAAAGTCTGACATCGGCCAATCGTCTGCGCTCTGGCCTTTCGCAGCAAGAAACATAGGGAGAGTTCAAGTAGTCACGTAATCCCTTCAGGGAAGCATACCTTACGGCCCCAGGCGCCGTTCTCTGACTGTCTGGCCCTCCGTCATTCGTGGCAGGACTGTGGAGGAAAGCAAGTAGTCCGTAAACCGGACACTCACGGCAGCCTGCATCATTCGCCAAGGTTGTGAACAATGTGGGAGCTTTCTTTTGAGAGCAGATCAACACAATGTTATGGCCTCCGACGCAATGTGGCTCGGGGGGGGGGGGGGCAGTCGCCGCGCGCGGCTCAGCGATGTAGTGTAACTCGAACATTCCAGCTTCTCACGCATGTCAAGTGACTGCCCTCACCCCCAACCCCCTGAATTGGCTACATTCCCCCTGGCTCACGAATTTCCTGTTGCCGCAACGCGCGCGCGCGGCTGGCCCCCCGAGTCACATTGCGCCTGGCATCATTCCTTTCTTTTTTACTTTTGGTTATCGCTTTCCTGGTAGCTCGAGGAACATGGGGTTCAAGGGGCATATGCTATGCTCCCCGAAGGGGTTGAGGGACGAAAATCCCTTTAAATTTTCTCTGTCTTCCCAACTGGGATTGCCCTGATAAAGGGCCTACATTTAATGTATGTATGTAGGTTAAAGTAAACATGCACTGAAAATGAAGAAACTATATCGTTCAAAACAAATAAATTTAAAGGAAACTTTGGATCACCTAGCTTCGGGGAAGCATAGCATACGGCCCCAAGTCAGCTGGAAGAGTAGCTGCCATCGATCGACAGAATGACTGAGCTGCGCTGCTATTACCAAACTCGCTGAAACATACTCTGCTTTGTTGTAACATCGCTTGGGAGCTGATGAGCCATTGGTTCAAGGATACCATGCAGTGTTTCTATAGTTCCGAGGTAAAGAAGTGCTTAACTTTATCAGCAAAAATAAAAGGTCATCTAATCGCTGTTCAGCTTGCTCTCGGCTATCTCGCATTGGTAGATGACATCCGTCTCCGATATGGAGTTTTGGTATTGATCTGGCAAAATTTCATTATGGAGCGGTTCAAAGCGTTGGTGCTTATAATTAAGAGGACCGGTCGCGCGCCAAAGGTGCCGTAATTCCTGAATTTATTTCTTTTCGTTTACAATCATGGATGAATTTTGGGTCCGCAGTATGCTGTAGTTACAATTAGTTCATGAGACGTCCTATTGGTTATGTATTCAACCTGTTTTCATATTTATCCTGGTAATGTCATCAGTGACCCTACCCCCTTAAGTGATTTTTGTAGGTTTCAGAATGTTATGCGGGTTACCCGTACTTAAAAGGTAGCAAGTAGTCCGTGGTGAGCGCATTGTGTAGCTAACCATGAGTATAGTATAGTATGCTGCTATGGTGGGTTTTGCGTTGGTGGAGTTCATATGAGCATCCCTTCCCACATTGCATTTCACTGACCTTGTACTCAGAAGGTGCTTATACACGGTTTTGTATCTTCCCTATGGTAACCACCTGTAGGGTTGCGAATTGGATCTACACTTGTTTC